TCCATGCAGAGAGATGAATGAGGAGCACAGACGCTCACTGGTATGTCCAGTAAGGGCTCTACATGTGTCTGTACACACAACACGGACTCACAGGAGGGCGGATCAGTTGTTTGTCTGTTTTAAGCTGGAGCTTCTTGGTAAACCGTTTTCAAAAGCCCGTCTTTCCCATTGGATTGTGGATGCTATCAAGCAGGCATACGTGGGCACTGGGTCCCGGGTCCCCATTAGTTTATACAATTGTTATTCACCCATGGCAGCTTCCTGGCCGTTGTGGCTAGGCGAGTCTCTGAGTGAGATCGGCACTGCTGCTACTTGGTCTGTCCCGTCTACATTTGCTCGGTTCTACCAGATGAATGTGGCTATAATTATGTCTTTTGGCGAACGGGTGCTTGGTGTAGACCAATGGTAACGTCATTTTTAATTTCTACTTGTCCGTCAGCCTGGCGGGGCTGTTCGGAGTGGCAACTTCACCTCTCTTGTCGAGCCTTAGCGTCTCGCAGGGCAGGCTGGCCTTGGTAGCGTCTGGCACCTTGGCATCAGGCAGCAGTAACTTGCAGTCAGCTGTACTAGCTGGCCTGGGGGTGTGTATATTTTGTACATTTATATATAGTTGACATCCTCGTTGGTGATTCTTTTGAATGCACACTTAAATGGATTTTTGTTTGGAGCACTCCTGGTGGCGGCAACGTCTCAATCGAAAGATACACAGTTGGGCTCATGTTATGGGCGGGTTCTGCTCCATCCCCTCGTGTTGTGTCTTACATAGCCCCATACACATGGAATATGTAGTGGAGAGATAGTCTCGATAAGATAGAGAATGTGGGTTACAAGGTGAAAACATGGTGTAAACATGGTTCCCTAAGTGAAAAGACTATCTCTTCAGCTCGAGGCTGCTCAGGGATCTGTTCCATCAAAATTTCTGCCGTGCTGACAGATATATAGATAGAAAGATAGTGAAAAGATTTCATGTTGATCTCACCATGTTAACATTCCTTTTGTATACTGTAAGAGCTTTCTCCAACAGATCGAGTTTCTCTGAGGTCTGTTGAAACACAGAGACATTTCATCACTGAATGTGTGTTAATACTCCTTAAACTTTAAACCTTGATAATATCAATGCACCTTCAAGGCCGGTATCAATGACTCTGTGTTAATACCTATGATCTCTGTATAGTAGCCTTACTTTAAGATTAAAGGTCACATATTATGTAAAATACACTTCACCATGGCTTTCTGTCTCTAGTCTTTCTACAAACCCTCCAAATTATGAGAAAAGTATATCCTCTCCATCTTTTGCCTGCTCCACTTTTCAGAAAATCTGTGCTCAAACAGGCCGCTTGGAGATTTTCCCTTCATGACATCACAAAGAGAAGTAACCCCTCCCCCAGGTGGGTGGCATTCTCACAGCTAGGTGTTTGTTCTGCCCTCTGAGTCTGCCTTCTCACAGTGAACAATAGGACATGGTGCAAGATAGCCCGAGTCACCCAAGACCTTCCAGAGAGAGGGCGTGGTCAGAAACAGCTCATTTACAAGGTAAATGTAAATTTAAAGGTACAGACACAGAAACAGCCTGTTCTGAGCAGGGCTGAAATAGAGGGGTTTATAGGCATGATCAAGCACAGGATCAGAGTCGATTTATAACAACAAATTTCACAGACATGTGAAAACTCTAACCCTATGTGACCTTTAAAATGAAAATGAATGCTATTAATGTAAGTTTAAACACAGAAAGTCGGACACCAAAATTACCTCAATCATGGACAATCATTACATGCGAGTTACTTAACAATAGCGATAGAGATAAGGATCACTGTAGAGATGACAGTCATTAGAAATATGTTTCATTGGAGATAAATAACTGAAGAGCAACGTTTATAGTTTCCTTTTCGTCACGCCTGTATTTTGGAGTCATCAAAGGCTTTGACAAAGGCGGCGGAGGCTCCTGAAGTTGCGTTGACAATTCCTAAACGTCCTTGTCTGAATATTCGCAGAGTAACACGTTCAAACACAAGAGCGAGCTGTTTGTGTGTCCTGATGAGAGAAGAGAATTAATTTAACAAACATAAACGTAATGTCGTCCACTCAGAGTTCACTGACTTCATGTTTTTCTCTCCAGTTTGATGGAGATGGTAGCGATCTTGGAACCCATCAGCAATCATCATCTGATAACCATGTATGTCCTGGGAGCAGACCGTAGATTGTAATTAATAATGGACGAAGCCTGAGTCACGTCATCCATTTGTTATGACAGGGGGCTCCGGAGGCTCATCGGCAGGAGCCGCCATGCTGGAATCAGACCTATTTTGTTTTTGTACCAGGCTGTAAACATGTTTATTTATGCTGTAAAAACTGTTTTTTTGCCAGTGTATGTGACTTCCAGTGGTCCTGGAGCCAGCCTCAAGTGGACACTTGATGAACTGCAGGATTTTGCACTTCCACATTGGCTTCATTTTTGAAGTCTGGAGGTTGTCTCTAGGAACAGACGTGAACTTCTCCTTAACTCTGGTAAAGCCAGAGGTTGGTGTTAAAGAGACTATCACAGTTATGTCAGGAGAATGAGAGAAGACCTCAAGGAAGCCCTGGCTCTGGCCCAAGTCAACACAAGTCTCAGTCAGCAGCGTCAGGCAGACCTGTACAACAAGGGAACAAAAGGTGAGAACATTGAAGAAGAAGATCAGGTTCTCTTGGCAAACAGGTGTGTCCGTGGTCGCAGAAAGCTAGCAGATCGGTGGGAGTCTACTCTCTACACAGTGGTTTCCAAAGACTCAAGGTGCCACACCTACCGCATCAGACATCGTGATTCAGGCCAAGAGAGGATTGTCCACCGGAAACGACTTTTACAAGCCAACTTCTTGCCTATAGAGGCAGATCAAGTGGAGGAGTCATGCTTTTGCAGTGGATCTGAGCCAGGTCCTGAATACACTGAGGGAGATGAGGGCCTTATGGCCGAAGAGTCTGAGTTTGACCGTTCAGAACGTACTGCCAGCTGGGTAGCCGAAGCAATGTCCCTGGAAGATCCTTTTGAAAGGGAGCACTCATCTCCAGAACCTCTAGAAGTGCCTCAGGATAATGTTGAACCAGCTCCTTGTGTCAATGAAATTGCTGGAGATGAGAAATACCATGGCCCTGAACCATACAGGGACAGCGGAAATGCCACATTCAATTATTTTCATGTCAAAGTTATTTAGTTCTGTTTTACCTGTTGACAAAGTACCTGTTGGGGGCTGACAAAGCAGCTTTTTTCCCGGCACAAATTGGATTGTTCTGTGATGTTAAGTTGTGACGCTCCCTCTTCTTGTTTTAAGCTAGCGGTCGTAAAATAAGTTAAAATTAGCTCTAAAATGTGTAAAAACATACCCATAATATATAGAGAATTTTGAAATTAGCTTTACTATTGGTTTTATTCGACGATGTTGGTAAATTATGTAAAAAAAACGCCGGAGATTGTGTCTCACTTGCATATTTGACTCGCTGCAGGAGAGAGAGACAGCGTCATCGCTCGTGTCTGTGTGTGTGTGTCTGTGTGTGTGTGTGACGTTTGTGCCCTTTTTGCTGCACTACAGGAAATAAATAAGGAAAAATCCTGATCCTGTGTTGGTGCCTTTATTGGACAACAAGCAACCATCTTAAGTCTGCTACACTTTAGAGCCTGTCATTGTATTATAGACTGTACTGAGATATTTATAGAGCGGACATACAACCTAAAAGCAAGGGCGGAAACCTGGTGAAATTATAAGCGCCAAAACCCAATGAAATATCTAATTGGAATCACACCAGCAGGAGCTATATCTTTTTTATCTCATGGGTGGTGAGGCCGTGCCTCTGACAAACTAATAACGTTAGAGTCTGGTTTCTCAGGAAAACTTGAACATGGGGATGAGATCCTTGCTGATAGAGGCTTCCTTGTTAGAGAGGAATTGGCCGGTGTAGGAGCAACTTTAAGAATCCCCAGTTTCACTAAAGGGAAATCTCAGTTGCCTGGTTCGTGTGTCGACACTTAACTTCAGTTGTAAAGAGTCTGCATACATGTAGAACGAGTAATAGGTCAGCTTAAAACCTTTCAGATACTGAACACTGTCATTCCCATCAGCCAATTCGATATGCTCGATGACATTGTAACCATATGCGCTGGTCTTACAAACCTTAGGGGGACTGTGGTGAGAAGATGAGAGAGGGGAATGTTTTTATTATGCACACTGAGAGTACAACAAGGTCTATACCACAGAGCTATTTGATTTATGATGTACTGTATGTACAAGGTCATAGTAAGACCAAGGCCTGATGTGCCTATGGGCCAGTCAGATGCAGGGCCGGCCCATCAGCAAATCCATTAGTTTATACAATTGTCATTCAATCAGTCACCTGTGGACGGCTGTCAAGTACAGTTCACCCGAGTATAAGCGCGTCACGCATCATTTGGCTCTCATCTACCTGGTATGTTTTGGGGTGTTGGTACGTCATGGACTTGAGGAAACTCTGTGAGAAGTCTCTTTGGTCGGCTGAAGTTGATGTTTTTCAACTTTTGTGGCTCAACCTTTTTCCGGGACATATCCTTCCACTGATTTGGTTTGGACGTGCAGGCAACCTCCTCCTCAGTGCGTGTGCACCCTGACAGAAAAAACCTGACCTTGTGTCATACAACTTTACATCTTGCACATGACCACAAAGTACATGATTATATGCGTCTAGGGATTTGTATGCACACTGGGCTTCTCTCAGGGATAGGTGTATACGTCGGGCCATTTGGACATATCTGAAATCCATTTGTCATTTGGAACGTTGTATGGATCTGGTAATTTTTCACCATTACTAAGGACTAATTTATTTACATAATCGATGCAGTCCGAGCTACTTATGCTTCTAATGTAACTGATCTCAGCCATTTCCGACCCAGACCTAGATAACAAGCTAGCTGTAGGCTACATACGTGAAATTCATGGACATTTCAGCAAGTTTCTTTTTCAGATTTATGATCCAAATGAAAGACAAACAGATGTAACTATGAAATTACATTTTATTACAAATTAGTCAACGAGAACTTACAAACAATAAGACATCTACACTGATATCAATTGACTCATCATGGCTAACGAAGCGTTCTTTTTGCCCCCTGGCTGCGCGCGCACCCAGTACTGTTTGTATCCAAGAAACCCGTCTATATGGCAAGGGACAAAACCCCGGGTTAAACTCCAAACCTTACAACTCCAAAAGGAAGAAGGAGGGATGGCCCTCCCTCATTTCAAGGATTACTTTTATGCTACCCAGATCAAACCCTTCATAAATATCTGTAATCCAACATTTCAGGCGAGGTGGAAAGACATCGAACTCACCAGCATGAATGACCCTCCACTTCAGGCAGTGTTGGCACACAAAAATCTGGGTGGATTTATAGATACAATACAAAATCCTTTTAATCAAAGCTCAGTTAAAAACCGGGAGGACAATAAGAGAAGAATATAAACTTGATGATAAAATACAAATAATTCAATGATGTGCCTATGATCCCGGTTTTAAACAAAATGGATTTTAGATTTAAATCGTGGAGCACAAAAGGAATAACAACATTCTTTTCTTTAACAGAAAAAGGTCAGTTTAAGGATTTTGAGACTCTGAGGAGAAAATATGGACTTGAAAGATCAGATTTCTATAGATATCTTCAGGTGTGTAATTATTTTGACCATAATATAAGAAATAAAACAGACTTTGAGGATCCAATACTAAAATTACTTTTAGGTGCATCCCAAAATGATTCAAGTAAAGGAGCTATCTCCAAACTTTATAAGGCTCTAATGCAAAAGAAATTACACACAACAGAATATGTTAAAGGTAAATGGGAGAAAGAGGGAAATCTTTCAGTACCAAGTGAAGACTGGTTGGATATGTGGAGCTTACATGGAAATGCACAAACTCTCAAGTGTGGTGGGAATTTGGTTGGAAGTGCTGTAATCGCTTCTTTGTCACTCCAAAGCAGAAAGCACATTATGCAGGAGGAGATACCAAATGCTGGAGGCAGTGTGGCTCTCAGGAAGCTAACCTCTGGCACATTTTCTGGGCGTGCCCAGTAATACAACCCTTTTGGTTAGAGTTTAATAAAACATTGAAGTGTATTCTTAACATGGACCTGCCCCTGCAGTTTCACACATTGTTTTGGCATATTAGCCTCTGCTTGTAAAGAAGCCATTACTCAGCACTGGTTACTTCCTGAACCTCCTACCATACACGGCTGGATTGATATTGTAAATGATATTTATGTTATGGAAAGGATCACTTTTTGTTTTTGTTAAACTCTGGTCCAAGTAGGTTAAATATGTGAAACCATTGCAGACAGATTTTGTGGAGGTGATCTTGTGATGTCTTAGCAAACCCCATTTCATTTAGCTCAATCTTTTATTTATTTGCTTATTTTTTTTCTCTCTCTCTGGTATTTTTTCTGATATTTTTTCTTGAATTCATTTTGAACACTCACTTTATCTCTCCCACACTGTATTTAGTTCTTTATGTTTATATTTAAAAAGCTGAGGACTGCAAAAGAGACTTAATTGTTTTTCTGTGACAATGCTCTGTGATATTGTTGATGTCCAAAGTCTAAAATAAAGACTTTTTAAAAAAAAGTACATTTCATGATGGAGCAGAAATGTTTTTATACCTGCACTTTATGCTGATAAGAGACATTAAACATTTTCATCTGATTTGGAACAACCACACATTTCCCATTACCAAAAAAATAAACTCTTAAAATCCATAAAATTCAAAAGAAGACGTTCATCATTGAGTTCAAAAAGTTATCATGAAGTCCTTGAAGTGATTAAATACAAATGAATATGTTTTACAAAACAGTTCTGGCTTCTGTTTTTATCCCGATATAAAAATAATTCTGTCATGTTCCAACAGAAAGATCTGAAGCATAAAGGTCCGGTACCATAAAGATGGACCTTAGATATGAGCACAGTAAAGGAACGCTCTTCAGCATTAAGTATCAGAGAACTTTGCCGGCTGCTTCTTCATTATTTTAAACGTCAGTATATTCTGAGTTTATAAACAGTTTCTTCCCTGAGCAGCACATTCACACCACACTCGCTCCTGTTTCACCAGATTTCAAACTTCTTGGTTTTCTTAAAGGGTGTTTGGTTTACAATGTTGTTCCTGAAGAGTCTAGAAAAAAGAGCAAGGAGAGCAAACATCAGTCATTCAGCCAGATCCACGAGTTTCAGTTTATATTAAAATAATCTATGATGATGGATGACTCGTCTGTAAGAACATGACGAGAAATGTCTTCATAAAGGAATGCTGCTCTTATTAGTTCATGCTCACCGCACGGTTTCAATGGATGGGTTGATGGAGATCAGTTCGAGCAACATGGATGTTGAAGCATCGCTGATCTTATTGTGACTCAGGCTGTGAAAGACACACAAAGAAAAAAGTGACACAGTGATTTATTTATTACACATGGTGTCAGCCAGCTGCTGGTGTGAGCTAAACAGGTCCGGTCCAAACACACCACAGACACAAGTAAAGAGAAAAAGAACGTGTTAGTTCAGTGGACAACAATTGATCTACTCTGACCGACTCTGTCAAAGACACATCTGACCTCCAGAGTCAATATAACAACTAAACCACTTTGGAAAACAAAATAAGGAGGTGCAATAGTCTGGAAATCAACATCTGTCTTTTTTCTTTTCTTTTTTATCAGCAAAGGTTTTTCTGGCCACACAGTTAACATCACTGGCTCTTTCTGAACCTAACCAACTCCACCTGTTGTGTTTAAGTAAATTCTTTATATATATTTCCTTCGTCGTCCACTCAGGCTAAAGCTGACTTTGCATTAAGTGCAGTGTTGTCTCGTGAACTCACTCGAGGACTTGTACTTTGTGCAGATGTTCCTTGATTGTGAGCAGTAGCTGGTCGGTTAGCTGGCAGTGACTGAGGTCCAGCTCTGTCAGCCCTTCAGAGAAGTCCAGCATCCAGGCCAAAGCTCCACAGGCCTTCTGATCCAGTACAGTGTGACTGAGGTCCAGCTCTCCACCCAGGGCTTTACACAGGGACCCCGCCCGTCTCATTGAATACCGCTCATTGATCAAAGGAACCAGCGACACCAGCTGGAGCAGGACAACTTTATTGACTCTAAACAGGAGAATCAGAGTGAAGGGCAGGCTGTTAGTGAACTGACATGAACAACACAAACTCAAACTGTTGTCTTGCTCATTTTGTGGTCCCCACTCAGCCCCAAACCTGAGGCGGACTCTGTCCAGGACAGGAAACAGCAGGTCCAGTCCACTGTCCTCCACATCACAGTCCTGCAGATGAAGCTCTGTGTCCTGGCTGCTGTGTCTCAGGATGGTGGAGACGGCGCTGCAGTCAGCGACCGTCAGTCTGAAAGTCTCACTCTGACCTTCCTCAGACATCTCCACACAGGAGGAACAGGACAGATCTAACCTGTGCTGCAGAGTCCTGAGCAGACTGACTGCTGCCCTCTGCTGGTCATCAGAGGCAGCGCAGCAGTGGATGAACTTCAGCAGCAGATTCCTGTCAACACTGTTAGGAACACTGATTAAAAACATGGTTAACAAATATTACCACCATCTCTGTGAGGAACAAGCACTGATGTCTGACCTGAGTTGAGAAACTTTGTCCAGTGTGCAGAGGATGGATTTGAGTCCCACCGTTGGTATGGAGGTCCACAGGAGGTTCAGTTTCACTCCATCACTGTGTTTGAGGGTGAAGAGCAGAGCAGCACAGTCCTCTGAGTCCATCTCTCGGCAGGTCAGGTTGATCACGTGATCAAATGACCTCAGAAGACTGGGTACAACTGAACTGACACGAGTTGTATAGATCTCTCTGAGGGAAGTCAACACAAAGCTGGGACAAGTCCTGAAAGAAAAAAGAGTTTTCCATACTTAACATATACTTAAGCACAAACGCTAAAAGAAGTTTAGACATATTGTGTTGTTGATGTTCTCTTTTTGGTCTCTTATTCGCCCTCCACACGCCCACTTTTAACCATAAACACTGGACAGAGATTACCTTAGGAATGACATTACATTACCTTTGATTTAGCCTGTATCCAAAATATTCCCCAGCATGGGTCAGAGTTTACTTACACGTCTGCATATTCTACATCAAGTTTGTTTTTTATTGGTCAACACTTTGAGAGGGTGAGTGGCGTACATCCTTACCGGCCTCATTTTGTGAATAGTCAAAAAAAAAAAAAAACACAAACCTTACAAATACAATCCTGCCCAGAAAGGGAAGCAGACGTGTGATGCTCTCTTGTAGGAAGCTGTTTTTCCTCATGTTCACAGTAATCATCTGAGACGACTGCTGCAGAAGACGTTGAAGAAGCTCCCAGTTCAGACAGAAGGGGGTCAGGTCTCCATTAACCTTTCTCAAGAAGGCCAAGGTCAAGTCATTGTCCTGAGTTTCATGGAGGAGGTCAAGTAGCTGCCGGGAAGTTTTCTCATTCAACCTGATGAAGAAAATTGTAAATATAGCTTAAGAAGAGTGAATGATTGTTACAGTTTACATGTTTTATTACACATTCAGAGTTTATACGGTTCAGGAAATATGTTTACTTGATTGTAAGAGGGCCATCATGAGAGAGCAGTGAAAAGAGACACTGAGGAGGGATCCAGGACTCAGTTAGATCCAACTGTCTGACTGTCCAGTATCGCAGCAGAGATGCCAAACTACTCACAACCCTAAACACTTTCTCTGAAGGTCGGTCTGACTGAGAGGCAAGAGAAAGCTGCTCAGTAACAGTCAGACAGGGCACTCTCTGTCTTCTTACCCATCCAGACAGAAGCAAGGCGATGCTGTTGGAAAGCCTAAGATTTAAACATTCAGAGAGAAAACATAGGTGACATAAACAATCTGGACATTTTAGCTGGACAGGATGATGTTTTAAGAAAAAGAGGAACTAAATAATGCAAACCTCAGACTGTGTAGTTTTTTGGTGTGTCTGAATAGGAGTGAAGCTCCTCTGACAGACATCATTCTGGGTGTGAGGATGAGATCCACACGAGAACCACAAAGTCCAAGAACTCGTCCCACAGACTTGCAGGTTTTGCTGAGTAACGTTCCTGTTAACTGAAGGGTGAATCCCAGGAGCCGCAGCAGAGGAACCAACGTCTCAGCCTCATCTCTGGATCTGACAGAAACCGATGTGCACACAAGCTGGAAAAACTCTGGCTGACTGCAGCTACAACAGAATAATATGGATGAAGTGTGAAAACAAGACAAACATTATTATGAAGACCTTCATGTCAAATGTCTTTCATGAAGGATAAGATATAAAAAAATCAAATATAGAAAACTCTGCTGCTTGCTAACAAAACAGCCACAAACGCGGCTCCTCCTTATTTAAACTCTCTCATCCAGGTCGACACTTCCTCCAGCACCTTGAAGAAAAAGATTAAGACCCAGCTCTTTTTTTAATTTAACTACATATATATGAGCTTTTTGGGTCTTTATTTTTAGAGAGAGGACAGTGGATAGAGTCAGAGATCAGGGAGAGAGAGAGGGGAACGACATGCGGGAAAGCAGCCATAGGTCGGATTTGAACCCTGGCTGCTCGCTTTTGAGGACTTCATCCTTTGTGGGGCACACGCACTAACCAGTCGGCTACAGGCGCCCAAAGACCCAGCTCTTTATGACCACCTACGACCTTATTGATGATGGTGAAGATGATGTTTAGGATGGTTTTGATGCTGATTAGAAATCTCTAGAACCGCTGTCGATGTTGTTGATGACAAAATAATGAAACCTTTTGAAGTGCTCTTCCTTTATGGATTTAAATCAGTCTCAAAATACTCGAATGCACACAGAAGGATTCATGAATGTGTTTTTGGATTCATATAATTATGACTCTATCCACAAACTTAATTTTAATGAACACACAAATCGTTATCATCGTACATAAATGTAAAAAATCCACATGTAAAAAAATAATGTTCACAAACGTATTTCTGATTCACACGAATATTTATTGTTTTATATTTATGTAAAAGAAATCCACAAATAAATGATATACATATGAATTTAAAGTATTTGCAGTTTTCATCAAATACACATTTGGATCTGGTTACATCTGCGCAGACAGAGATTAGCCAAGCTGTAGATTTGTTTTACATTTATGTACGATGATCTCTCAGAGAATCTTACAGTGAGAGGATTCAGATGGAGGAGCAAACCTTAACAGGTGTACACTGTGGTGTGAAGAGTAATTCATTTACCTGAGCTGTGAGATATGAGGCAGACACTGAAGGAAGCTCCTCACTTCACTCTCTTCATCTGGACAGCCCGTCAGCTCCACTGGAGTCTTCTCTGGACGGAGTCTCAGCACTTCCAGGAGGATGGAGGTCTTTCTCTTTGAGAGGTCAATGTACCAGACAGCAGGAGCTGACTGGAAAACTGACTGTAATGATGGAAGAACTCTCAAGCCTGTTTTAGTCTCACAGTCCTTCATGTGGGAGCACAGATCCAGAAGGAATGAACACTGATATTTCTTGGTGTCATCATGAATGTATCGGCCACTGATAGGAAATGTTTCATATGTGCACAGTGATGATAACAGCTGCAGTGTGTTCTCTCCTGTCTGCTGTTCTCTCTCTGCTGCTGCACAGAACAGACGTCCACACAACTCGACTCCTCTTTTAAACCCCTCAGAGAAACTGAAATAAAAGCTGAAAACTTTGTTAAGTCAGCATCAGAAACGAGACATGAATTACTGACAGAGTGTATCTACTCAAAGCTTACAAATAAACACAAATGAGCAGAAAACAAAACACTTTGGTAATCTACACACAAATAATGATGCAATAAAGAAGATCAAATGTAGATTTCTCTAAACTTTCACTGAATGTAATTCTTTCAAAAGTGTTGGAGGACTCAGAAAGGTCAAATACAGAGTTGTTTCTTAAACTCTGTCTAATGAGATGTTATGTTATGACATGGATTCAGCTCATAAACCAACAGAGTGACTTTAAGGAAACCTTCAACTCAAATATTCAGAAATCAATCCGTTCCAAACACTGGAATACTGGACGACAACTTTGAAACTCACTAAAGTCCAAAAAGAAAAGGTGTGTCATTGTTTTCTTTACATTTATTTATCACATCCTGATGATAATCTTCTTAATCATCAGGATTCATTTGACATCTTATAAACATGTTTGCTCTTTAGTCTTCTTTCTTTTAAACTATTGAGCCTTCATGTGGTACATTTATTGATTTGATTGGTTAATACAGATTGTTTTTCATGCTGTTATTGAATCATCTCGTTCACTCTTCAAAATGAAAATCTTTCAAACCTCTAATTCAGCAGCTGTTTATTTATTGGTAAATAATTCATCATCAATTAGCTCCAAAGACTGAAATAGACCATCACAAGTTTGGACCTGTTTCATTCTATATTTTTAAAAACGTCAGAAAGCAGTTGTTCAGCTAAATTAGGATTTCTGGGAGTATGTTACACATTTCATCATCATGTGTTATTGGATAATTCAATCTTACAGTGAGAGGATTCAGATGGAGGAGCAAACCTTAACAGGTGTACACTGTGGTGTGAAGAGTAATTCATTTACCTGAGCTGTGAGATATGAGGCAGACACTGAAGGAAGCTCCTCACTTCACTCTCTTCATCTGGACAGCCCGTCAGCTCCACTGGAGTCTTCTCTGGACGGAGTCTCAGCACTTCCAGGAGGATGGAGGTCTTTCTCTTTGAGAGGTCAATGTACCAGACATCAGGAGCTGACTGGAAAACTGACTGTAATGATGGAAGAACTCTCAAGCCTGTTTTAGTCTCATAGTCCTTCATGTGGGAGCACAGATCCAGAAAGAAATCCGGCTCGTCAAGGTAGGAGAATGCTTCATATCTGCACACTGATGATAACAGCTGCATTGTGTTCTCTCCTGTCTGCTGTTCTCTCTCTGCTGCTGCACAGAACAGACGTCCACAGAACTCGACTCCTCTTTTAACCCCCTCAGAGAAACTGAAATGAAAGTTGAAAACTTTGTTAAGTCAGCATCAGAAACGAGACATGAATTACTGACAGAGTGTATCTACTCAAAGCTTACAAATAAACACAAATGAGCAGAAAACAAAACACTTTGGTAATCTACACACAAATAATGATGCAATAAAGAAGATCAAATGTAGATTTCTCTAAACTTTCACTAAATGTAATTCTTTCAAAAGTGTTGGAGGACTCAGAAAGGTCAAATACAGAGTTGTTTCTTAAACTCTGTCTAATGAGATGTTATGTTATGACATGGATTCAGCTCATAAACCAACAGAGTGACTTTAAGGAAACCTTCAACTCAAATATTCAGAAATCAATCCGTTCCAAACACTGGAATACTGGACGACAACTTTGAAACTCACTAAAGTCCAAAAAGAAAAGGTGTGTCATTGTTTTCTTTACATTTATTTATCACATCCTGATGATAATCTTCTTAATCATCAGGATTCATTTGACATCTTATAAACATGTTTGCTATGTAGTCTTCTTTCTTTTAAACTATTGAGCCTTCATGTGGTACATTTATTGATTTGATTGGTTAATACAGATTGTTTTTCATGCTGTTATTGAATCATCTCGTTCACTCTTCAAAATGAAAATCTTTCAAACCTCTAATTCAGCAGCTGTTTATTTATTGGTAAATAATTCATCATCAATTAGCTCCAAAGACTGAAATAGACCATCACAAGTTTGGACCTGTTTCATTCTATATTTTTAAAAACTTCAGAAAGCAGTTGTTCAGCTAAATTAGGATTTCTGGGAGTATGTTACACATTTCATCATCATGTGTTATTGGATAATTCAATCTTACAGTGAGAGGATTCAGATGGAGGAGCAAACCTTAACAGGTGTACACTGTGGTGTGAAGAGTAATTCATTTACCTGAGCTGTGAGATATGAGGCAGACACTGAAGGAAGCTCCTCACTTCACTCTCTTCATCTGGACAGCCCGTCAGCTTCACTGGAGTCTTCTCTGGACGGAGTCTCAGCACTTCCAGGAGGATGGAGGTCTTTCTCTTTGAGAGGTCAATGTACCAGACAGCAGGAGCTGACTGGAAAACTGACTGTACTGATGGAAGAACTCTCAAGCCTGTTTTAGTCTCATAGTTCTTCATGTGGGAGTACAGATCCAGAAGGAATGAACACTGATATTTCTTGGTGTCATCATGAATGTATCGGCCACTGATAGGAAATGTTTCATATGTGCACAGTGATGATAACAGCTGCAGTGTGTTCTCTCCTGTCTGCTGTTCTCTCTCTGCTGCTGCACAGAACAGACGTCCACACAACTCGACTCCTCTTTTAAACCCCTCAGAGAAACTGAAATGAAAGCTGAAAACTTTGTTAAGTCAGCATCAGAAACGAGACATGAATTACTGACAGAGTGTATCTACTCAAAGCTTACAAATAAACACAAATGAGCAGAAAACAAAACACTTTGGTAATCTACACACAAATAATGATGCAATAAAGAAGATCAAATGTAGATTTCTCTAAACTTTCACTAAATGTAATTCTTTCAAAAGTGTTGGAGGACTCAGAAAGGTCAAATACAGAGTTGTTTCTTAAACTCTGTCTAATGAGATGTTATGTTATGACATGGATTCAGCTCATAAACCAACAGAGTGACTTTAAGGAAACCTTCAACTCAAATATTCAGAAATCAATCCGTTCCAAACACTGGAATACTGGACGACAACTTTGAAACTCACTAAAGTCCAAAAAGAAAAGGTGTGTCATTGTTTTCTTTACATTTATTTATCACATCCTGATGATAATCTTTTTAATCATCAGGATTCATTTGACATCTTATAAACATGTTTACTCTTTAGTCTTCTTTCTTTTAAACTATTGAGCCTTCATGTGGTACATTTATTGATTTGATTGGTTAATACAGATTGTTTTTCATGCTGTTATTGAATCATCTCGTTCACTCTTCAAAATGAATATCTTTCAAACCTCTTATTCAGCAGCTGTTTATTTACTGGTAAATAATTCATCATCAATTAGCTCCAAAGACTGAAATAGACCATCACAAGTTTGGACCTGTTTCATTCTATATTTTTAAAAACTTCAGAAAGCAGTTGTTCAGCTAAATTAGGATTTCTGGGAGTATGTTACACATTTCATCATCATGTGTTATTGGATAATTCAATCTTACAGTGAGAGGATTCAGATGGAGGAGCAAACCTTAACAGGTGTACACTGTGGTGTGAAGAGTAATTCATTTACCTGAGCTGTGAGATATGAGGCAGACACTGAAGGAAGCTCCTCACTTCACTCTCTTCATCTGGACAGCCCGTCAGCTCCACTGGAGTCTTCTCTGGACGGAGTCTCAGCACTTCCAGGAGGATGGAGGTCTTTCTCTTTGAGAGGTCAATGTACCAGACAGCAGGAGCTGACTGGAAAACTGACTGTACTGATGGAAGAACTCTCAAGCCTGTTTTAGTCTCACAGTCCTTCATGTGGGAGTACAGATCCAGAAGGAATGAACACTGATATTCTTTATCATCAATGTCGGCCATCTGAAGGAAATGTTTCATATGTGCACAGTGATGATAACAGCTGCAGTGTGTTCTCTCCTGTCTGCTGTTCTCTCTCTGCTGCTGCACAGAACAGACGTCCACACAACTCGACTCCTCTTTTAAACCAGTAAGAGAAACTGAAATGAAAGTTGAAAACTTTGTTAAGTCAGCATCAGAAACGAGACATGAATTACTGACAGAGTGTATCTACTCAAAGCTTACAAATAAACACAAATGAGCAGAAAACAAAACACTTTGGTAATCTACACACAAATAATGATGCAATAAAGAAGATCAAATGTAGATTTCTCTAAACTTTCACTAAATGTAATTCTTTCAAAAGTGTTGGAGGACTCAGAAAGGTCAAATACAGAGTTGTTTCTTAAACTCTGTCTAATGAGATGTTATGTTATGACATGGATTCAGCTCATAAACCAACAGAGTGACTTTAAGGAAACCTTCAACTCAAATATTCAGAAATCAATCCGTTCCAAACACTGGAATACTGGACGACAACTTTGAAACTCACTAAAGTCCAAAAAGAAAAGGTGTGTCATTGTTTTCTTTACATTTATTTATCACATCCTGATGATAATCTTTTTAATCATCAGGATTCATTTGACATCTTATAAACATATTTACTCTTTAGTCTTCTTTCTTTTAAACTATTGAGCCTTCATGTGGTACATTTATTGATTTGATTGGTTAATACAGATTGTTTTTCATGCTGTTATTGAATCATCTCGTTCACTCTTCAAAATGAATATCTTTCAAACCTCTTATTCAGCAGCTGTTTATTTATTGGTAAATAATTCATCATCAATTAGCTCCAAAGACTGAAATAGACCATCACAAGTTTGGACCTGTTTCATTCTATATTTTTAAAAACTTCAGAAAGCAGTTGTTCAGCTAAATTAGGATTTCTGGGAGTATGTTACACATTTCATCATCATGTGTTATTGGATAATTCAATCTTACAGTGACAGGATTCAGATGGAGGAGCAAACCTTAACAGGTGTACACTGTGGTGTGAAGAGTAATTCATTTACCTGAGCTGTGAGATATGAGGCAGACACTGAAGGAAGCTCCTCACTTCACTCTCTTCATCTGGACAGCCCGTCAGCTCCACTGGAGTCTTCTCTGGACGGAGTCTCAGCACTTCCAGGAGGATGGAGGTCTTTCTCTTTGAGAGGTCAATGTACCAGACAGCAGGAGCTGACTGGAAAACTGACTGTACTGATGGAAGAACTCTCAAGCCTGTTTTAGTCTCACAGTCCTTCATGTGGGAGTACAGATCCAGAAGGAATGAACACTGATTTCTTTTCATCATGAATGTATCGCCACTGATAGGAAATGTTTCATATGTGCACAGTGATGATAACAGCTGCAGTGTGTTCTCTCCTGTCTGCTGTTCTCTCTCTGCTGCTGCACAGAACAGACGTCCACACAACTCGACTCCTCTTTTAAACCCTCAAGAAACTGAAACGAAAGTTGAAAACTTTGTTAAGTCAGCATCAGAAACGAGACATGAATTACTGACAGAGTGTATCTACTCAAAGCTTACAAATAAACACAAATGAGCAGAAAACAAAACACTTTGGTAATCTACACACAAATAATGATGCAATAAAGAAGATCAAATGTAGATTTCTCTAAACTTTCACTAAATGTAATTCTTTCAAAAGTGTTGGAGGACTCAGAAAGGTCAAATACAGAGTTGTTTCTTAAACTCTGTCTAATGAGATGTTATGTTATGACATGGATTCAGCTCATAAACCAACAGAGTGACTTTAAGGAAACCTTCAACTCAAATATTCAGAAATCAATCCGTTCCAAACACTGGAATACTGGACGACAACTTTGAAACTCACTAAAGTCCAAAAAGAAAAGGTGTGTCATTGTTTTCTTTACATTTATTTATCACATCCTGATGATAATCTTTTTAATCATCAGGATTCATTTGACATCTTATAAACATATTTACTCTTTAGTCTTCTTTCTTTTAAACTATTGAGCCTTCATGTGGTACATTTATTGATTTGATTGGTTAATACAGATTGTTTTTCATGCTGTTATTGAATCATCTCGTTCACTCTTCAAAATGAATATCTTTCAAACCTCTAATTCAGCAGCTGTTTATTTACTGGTAAATAATTCATCATCAATTAGCTCCAAAGACTGAAATAGACCATCACAAGTTTGGACCTGTTTCATTCTATATTTTTAAAAACTTCAGAAAGCAGTTGTTCAGCTAAATTAGGATTTCTGGGAGTATGTTACACATTTCATCATCATGTGTTATTGGATAATTCAATCTTACAGTGAGAGGATTCAGATGGAGGAGCAAACCTTAACAGGTGTACACTGTGGTGTGAAGAGTAATTCATTTACCTGAGCTGTGAGATATGAGGCAGACACTGAAGGAAGCTCCTCACTTCACTCTCTTCATCTGGACAGCCCGTCAGCTCACTGGAGTCTTCTCTGGACGGAGTCTCAGCACTTCCAGGAGGATGGAGGTCTTTCTCTTTGAGAGGTCAATGTACCAGACATCAGGAGCTGACTGGAAAACTGACTGTAATGATGGAAGAACTCTCAAGCCTGTTTTAGTCTCATAGTCCTTCATGTGGGAGTACAGATCCAGAAGGAAATCCGGCTCGTCAAGGTAGGAGAATGCTTCATATCTGCACACTGATGATAACAGCTGCACTGTGTTCTCTCCTGTCTGCTGTTCTCTCTCTGCTGCTGCACAGAACAGACGTCCACACAACTCGACTTCTCTTTTCAAACCCCTCAGAGAAACTGAAATGAAAGTTAAAGTTGTGTTAGCAGAGCATTATTTTTAATTATAACTTTAATTTTTAAATTGTTCCAATATTTCATCTTTTTGTGTAACTTCATTGCTGGCACTTTTTCTCTGTGTCTTTGTTTTATCAGCTGTGTTTGTAAAAGTATCACAAAATAAACAACTTCATGTTCATATTTTTACACCAAGTGTCATGAATGGTTGGAATGAATGGTTGGCCTTTCTGACAGCTGACCAATCAGGACGAGTAGTAACCTACGTTTTTTATCAGCCAACGTTATCGGTAGAAAGCTATCGGACCTGAACTGCCACCAGATACGTGTGCATTGCGTGTCCGCTCCGGACTTTCTGTCCTGTTTGTTCTTTTCTGTGCTAAATTGATGCGTCGTGCTCCGGCACGGTTGCGGCGTAGGCTAGATCCTGTTGATAAGGCCTTATTCAGTAATGAACTACAGACTGATGTGAAGGTTTTATGAAACTCATATTCTGCTGTGAATAAATATATAATCAGCACCTCTGATTCAAATCATGAAAAAGTCATTCTGCTCTTGGCTGTGTTTGTCCAGCAGATTTTAAATTTAGTAAGTTCCCTTTGTAAACAAATTACAGACGTGTTGTTAGACCTTTCCTTATCCACTATCCAAATCTTTAAGTTTTCTTTGTACAAGCTGCTTCACATCAATCATCCCTCATGGGTCATTAAGCAGGCCTTAAAAACACCAAATGTTTGTGTGAAATGTTTCATAATTCTGAGTAATTATTAACTTTGACCATGTACACAAGTGAAAACAGGAAAATCACAGAAATAACCATTTACCTGAGCTGTGAGATATGAGGCAGACACTGAAGGAAGCTCCTCACTTCACTCTCTTCATCTGGACAGCCTGTCAGCTCCACTGGAGTCTTCTCTGATCTGAGTCTCAGCACTTCCAGGAGCATGGAGGTGTTGATCTCTGACAGGTTTATGGACCAGACACCAGCAGCTGACTCAAAAAGTTGACCCAGTTTTGGAATAACACTTAAACACCCTTCACTCTTGACATGTTGATACAAATCAACAAAAAAGTTATGCAAGTGTTTGTCAACAGAAAACAAAGAGACGAGCTGAGACACAACATGGTGAAAGCTCTCTTCTTTGTCAAGTGCTGCTTGCAGGCATAAATCCAGTAACAGCTTCTTTTTCCTTCTCTCTAGGGTCCCATGGTCTGGCTCCTGGTCTTCTTGTTCTGGATCTTGGTGGGTCATCCTGAAGCTTCATGATAAAAAAAAAAAAAACTTTAATTACTTAGGAAAATAAATTTGTTATGTCAACATCAGCAATGAAACGTAGGGTTACACTGTAACCTTGGTTCTCTGAGTGAAGAGACTATCTCTCCACTCTGTTACATAACATACACAGGATATGATCCCTGCTCATCATAGTCTGTGGATTTACTTTAGGACACTCTGGCTCGCCCGGTCACGTCCCACAGCTCATCTATAAAGCACCTGTGCTGATGTGTAATCACTGACAGTTTGATTGGAACCTTTCAGCGAGCGGCCTAGAGGCTGGAGAGATAGTCTCTTCAGTCAGAGAACCAAGGTTACAATGTAACCAGGGTAACTCTTTAAGACACCCCGCGAGACAGCAGCCCACAATCCAATACACCAATGTGCAATGTTGACATGCCAACCAGGGTAAGGACCAGCAGGATGCAAGAACCATACCCAAGAGGCAGAGTTAAGGGAACACTCCCACAGCAGCTTGTAACTCTCTTTTATTTTATGTTTGTAAGACCACACTCCACACGGGGGAACTGCAACCTCTTGGTCCTTGTGGCGGGCGCTACTCTCACTGAGAACTGTCCGGCGTGGCCCATCCACGTACCGCCGGGTTCTATAGCTTCAATGTAGCATATGGCACCGCTTTTGGGGAACACAGGGATTAAAGCAAAAACATGATTTTGACTGAAAATTCTCAAGGTATAAAACATGTAACAAATAACCAATTTGAATAGATGTTTTCTATCTAAGGATTAAAACTGACACGTTTTTCTTTTTAGAAAGCTCAAGATCTAGACCTTTAGCAGCCTAAAGTAGTAACCAAACAGAAATACCTAACATACTCTAACCAGTTACAGAAGTTAGAGTACAAACTCATCAGACTTTAGTCTGGAGTAACAAAGGAAAAATAGTTACTTTGGAAATATTGACCTTTTACTGAATATTAATTATATTATTCATTTTTTTTGATGCATTAATGTGTTCCTCGTTTCGCTGTAACTGCTACAGCTGAAGCTTATCCTATTTGAGTAATGTAAATTGTTTTTATTTATTTATTTACATACCTGTAGTTGGATACCTTGAGAATTCCCTGGGCACATACGTAAAGATATTTTGACAAATAGTGTATTCATCCTATTTTGCATTATAAATCTGAATCTGATAGGTAACAGGCAAAGAAACTCAAGATTTTCTATATATTCAGTGGAGTAAGAAGTATTTGTTTTTAAGTACAAGAAGGTTTTTATTAGATTTGTTCAGAACGTATGTATTGTACTTAATAACTTCCACCCACTCAGTCGTTAAATGTAACAAAGTAAACTAGTGTTAGCTTGTTAAGCTAATATAACATGTAAGAATTGTGTTGTCAAACGGTCCAGTTTAAAGATGATTCATGTTGCAGTGCTCTGTGTGGGTAATGTGTTGTATCACCTGTTGTCTTGACACGTGTTCCTAAAGGAGTGTGTCCGGTAGTGGAGCACTCGGCCACTGTTTGCCCGGTAATGAAACTTGACTGACAGTAAACTCTGTCATGTTACGGATTATCATTGTAAAGTATTTCACTTGGTCGGACTTCATGTAGCAGATAAAAGTTCTCACTGTACATTTGAAATGCCACACAAATGCAGAACTACACTTGTGTTACAGGGTTCAGCATAAATGCCTGACATTACCATCAGCAGTTTGCTCGTGAAGGTATGTCACTAACCCTCATTCTGCTCGACTTTTTTTTATCTGATTGATACTGGACTAAAATTATTCCAATTTGAAATTGACGGAAATCCGTCACAGCGACTGAGAACTTCAATCCCTGGGAACAAGTGCTGAGGGCAGCTGCATCATAATAACATGATCACTGAGACCTTTGACACAGGGGCCCTTGAGACCCAACAAAGGGGATGGTTTGTACCCGCTGTCAGATGGCCTGCCAAAAGGCACGTCGCCTGAGTGACAATTATCCTTCAAGTCCGATCACTTGCATCTGGCAGGGTTGGACATGTTTGGGGCGCGTCTGGCCCCCAAACATCAGGCAGTGACAAGTGGCGAGTGGCGATGTCACTTGGCAGTGAGGGATAATGTGTATATGGTGACGTCTCATTCAAATATCAGAGCTGGGGACCAGTGGGTGTCTTGAGGCAGTTTCTGCTCTTGTCTCCTCGTTCTCCTCATGGGGTGTCTTAAAGAGTACCATGTTGGAAATATGTTTGGTGTAGGGACAACCTTGGATACAATAGAGAACGCTTGGTGACATTGTAACATTGGTTCTCTGAGTGAGAGGTTGTCCTTCGCAAAGAGGCACTCGAGTACGGTTTCAAACAATGTAAATCACTGGGGCCTGTTATACCCTCACATGCAGCCATGGAAGTTGTATCTTTAAAAGGAATGTTCACGTCAGATGTCCTTAAATGGAATCAATTCCCATATTGGAAATATGTTTGGTGAAGGGACAACCTCTTCACTCAGAGAACCAAGGTTACAATGTAACCAAGTGTCATTGGATAATTCAATCTTACAGTGAGAGGATTCAGATGGAGGAGCAAACCTTAACAGGTGTACACTGTGGTGTGAAGAGTAATTCATTTACCTGAGCTGTGAGATATGAGGCAGACACTGAAGGAAGCTCCTCACTTCACTCTCTTCATCTGGACAGCCCGTCAGCTCCACTGTAGTCTTCTCTGGACGGAGTCTCAGCACTTCCAGGAGGATGGAGGTCTTTCTCTTTGAGAGGTCAATGTACCAGACAGCAGCAGCTGACTGGAAAACTGACTGTACTGATGGAAGAACTCTCAAGCCTGTTTTAGTCTCATAGTCCTTCATGTGGGAGTACAGATCCAGAAGGAATGAACACTGATATTTCTTGGTGTCATCATGAATGTATCGGCCACTGATAGGAAATGTTTCATATCTGCACACTGATGATAACAGCTGCAGTGTGTTCTCTCCTGTCTGCTGTTCTCTCTCTGCTGCTGCACAGAACAGACGTCCACACAACTCGACTCCTCTTTTAAACCAGTAAGAGAAACTGAAACGAAAGTTGAAAACTTTGTTAAGTCAGCATCAGAAACGAGACATGAATTACTGACAGAGTGTATCTACTCAAAGCTTACAAATAAACACAAATGAGCAGAAAACAAAACACTTTGGTAATCTACACACAAATAATGATGCAATAAAGAAGATCAAATGTAGATTTCTCTAAACTTTCACTAAATGTAATTCTTTCAAAAGTGTTGGAGGACTCAGAAAGGTCAAATACAGAGTTGTTTCTTAAACTCTGTCTAATGAGATGTTATGTTATGACATGGATTCAGCTCATAAACCAACAGAGTGACTTTAAGGAAACCTTCAACTCAAATATTCAGAAATCAATCCGTTCCAAACACTGGAATACTGGACGACAACTTTGAAACTCACTAAAGTCCAAAAAGAAAAGGTGTGTCATTGTTTTCTTTACATTTATTTATCACATCCTGATGATAATCTTTTTAATCATCAGGATTCATTTGACATCTTATAAACATATTTACTCTTTAGTCTTCTTTCTTTTAAACTATTGAGCCTTCATGTGGTACATTTATTGATTTGATTGGTTAATACAGATTGTTTTTCATGCTGTTATTGAATCATCTCGTTCACTCTTCAAAATGAATATCTTTCAAACCTCTAATTCAGCAGCTGTTTATTTACTGGTAAATAATTCATCATCAATTAGCTCCAAAGACTGAAATAGACCATCACAAGTTTGGACCTGTTTCATTCTATATTTTTAAAAACTTCAGAAAGCAGTTGTTCAGCTAAATTAGGATTTCTGGAGTATGTTACACATTTCATCATCATGTGTTATTGGATAATTCAATCTTACAGTGAGAGGATTCAGATGGAGGAGCAAACCTTAACAGGTGTACACTGTGGTGTGAAGAGTAATTCATTTACCTGAGCTGTGAGATATGAGGCAGACACTGAAGGAAGCTCCTCACTTCACTCTCTTCATCTGGACAGCCCGTCAGCTCCACTGGAGTCTTCTCTGGACGGAGTCTCAGCACTTCCAGGAGGATGGAGGTCTTTCTCTTTGAGAGGTCAATGTACCAGACATCAGGAGCTGACTGGAAAACTGACTGTAATGATGGAAGAACTCTCAAGCCTGTTTTAGTCTCATAGTCCTTCATGTGGGAGTACAGATCCAGAAGGAAATCCGGCTCGTCAAGGTAGGAGAATGCTTCATATCTGCACACTGATGATAACAGCTGCACTGTGTTCTCTCCTGTCTGCTGTTCTCTCTCTGCTGCTGCACAGAACAGACGTCCACACAACTCGACTTCTCTTTTAAACCCCTCAGAGAAACTGAAATGAAAGTTAAAGTTGTGTTAGCAGAGCATTATTATTTAATTATAACTTTAATTTTTAAATTTTTCCAATATTTCATCTTTTTGTGTAACTTCATTGCTGGCACTTTTTCTCTGTGTCTTTGTTTTATCAGCTGTGTTTGTAAAAGTATCACAAAATAAACAACATCATGTTCATATTTTTACACCAAGTGTCATGAATGGTTGGAATGAATGGTTGGCCTTTCTGACAGCTGACCAATCAGGACGAGTAGTAACCTACGTTTTTTATCAGCCAACGTTATCGGTAGAAAGCTATCGGACCTGAACTGCCACCAGATACGTGTGCATTGCGTGTCCGCTCCGGACTTTCTGTCCTGTTTGTTCTTTTCTGTGCTAAATTGATGCGTCGTGCTCCGGCACGGTTGCGGCGTAGGCTAGATCCTGTTGATAAGGCCTTATTCAGTAATGAACTACAGACTGATGTGAAGGTTTTATGAACCTCATATTCTGCTGTGAATAAATATATAATCAGCACCTCTGATTCAAATCATGAAAAAGTCATTCTGCTCTTGCTGTGTTTGTCCAGCAGATTTTAAATTTAGTAAGTTCCCTTTGTAAACAAATTACAGACGTGTTGTTAGACCTTTCCTTATCCATTATCCAAATCTTTAAGTTTTCTTTGTACAAGCTGCTTCACATCAATCATCCCTCATGGGTCATTAAGCAGGCCTTAAAAACACCAAATGTTTGTGTGAAATGTTTCATAATTCTGAGTAATTATTAACTTTGACCATGTACACAAGTGAAAACAGGAAAATCACAGAAATAACCATTTACCTGAGCTGTGAGATATGAGGCAGACACTGAAGGAAGCTCCTCACTTCACTCTCTTCATCTGGACAGCCGTCAGCTCCACTGGAGTCTTCTCTGGACGGAGTCTCAGCACTTCCAGGAGGATGGAGGTCTTTCTCTTTGAGAGGTCAATGTACCAGACAGCAGGAGCTGACTGGAAAACTGACTGTACTGATGGAAGAACTCTCAAGCCTGTTTTAGTCTCACAGTCCTTCATGTGGGAGCACAGATCCAGAAGGAATGAACACTGATATTTCTTGGTGTAATTAATGGATCGCCAATAATAGGAAATGTTTCATATGTGCACAGTGATGATAACAGCTGCAGTGTGTTCTCTCCTGTCTGCTGTTCTCTCTCTGCTGCTGCACAGAACAGACGTCCACACAACTCGACTCCTCTTTTAAACCAGTAAGAGAACTGAAACGAAAGTTGAAAACTTTGTTAAGTCAGCATCAGAAACGAGACATGAATTACTGACAGAGTGTATCTACTCAAAGCTTACAAATAAACACAAATGAGCAGAAAACAAAACACTTTGGTAATCTACACACAAATAATGATGCAATAAAGAAGATCAAATGTAGATTTCTCTAAACTTTCACTAAATGTAATTCTTTCAAAAGTTTGGAGGACTCAGAAAGGTCAAATACAGAGTTGTTTCTTAAACTCTGTCTAATGAGATGTTATGTTATGACATGGATTCAGCTCATAAACCAACAGAGTGACTTTAAGGAAACCTTCAACTCAAATATTCAGAAATCAATCCGTTCCAAAACTGGAATACTGGACGACAACTTTGAAACTCACTAAAGTCCAAAAAGAAAAGGTGTGTCATTGTTTTCTTTACATTTATTTATCACATCCTGATGATAATCTTTTTAATCATCAGGATTCATTTGACATCTTATAAACATATTTTACTCTTTAGTCTTCTTTCTTTTAAACTATTGAGCCTTCATGTGGTACATTTATTGATTTGATTGGTTAATACAGATTGTTTTTCATGCTGTTATTGAATCATCTCGTTCACTCTTCAAAATGAATATCTTTCAAACCTCTAATTCAGCAGCTGTTTATTTACTGGTAAATAATTCATCATCAATTAGCTCCAAAGACTGAAATAGACCATCACAAGTTTGGACCTGTTTCATTCTATATTTTTAAAAACTTCAGAAAGCAGTTGTTCAGCTAAATTAGGATTTCTGGGAGTATGTTACACATTTCATCATCATGTGTTATTGGATAATTCAATCTTACAGTGAGAGGATTCAGATGGAGGAGCAAACCTTAACAGGTGTACACTGTGGTGTGAAGAGTAATTCATTTACCTGAGCTGTGAGATATGAGGCAGACACTGAAGGAAGCTCCTCACTTCACTCTCTTCATCTGGACAGCCCGTCAGCTCCACTGGAGTCTTCTCTGGACGGAGTCTCAGCACTTCCAGGAGGATGGAGGTCTTTCTCTTTGAGAGGTCAATGTACCAGACATCAGGAGCTGACTGGAAAACTGACTGTAATGATGGAAGAACTCTCAAGCCTGTTTTAGTCTCATAGTCCTTCATGTGGGAGTACAGATCCAGAAGGAAATCCGGCTCGTCAAGGTAGGAGAATGCTTCATATCTGCACACTGATGATAACAGCTGCACTGTGTTCTCTCCTGTCTGCTTTCTCTCTCTGCTGCTGCACAGAACAGACGTCCACACAACTCGACTTCTCTTTCAAACCCCTCAGAGAAACTGAAATGAAAGTTAAAGTTGTGTTAGCAGAGCATTATTATTTAATTATAACTTTAATTTTTTCCAATATTTCATCTTTTTGTGTAACTTCATTGCTGGCACTTTTTCTCTGTGTCTTTGTTTTATCAGCTGTGTTTGTAAAAGTATCACAAAATAAACAACTTCATGTTCATATTTTTACACCAAGTGTCATGAATGGTTGGAATGAATGGTTGGCCTTTCTGACAGCTGACCAATCAGGACGAGTAGTAACCTACGTTTTTTATCAGCCAACGTTATCGGTAGAAAGCTATCGGACCTGAACTGCCACCAGATACGTGTGCATTGCGTGTCCGCTCCGGACTTTCTGTCCTGTTTGTTCTTTTCTGTGCTAAATTGATGCGTCGTGCTCCGGCACGGTTGCGGCGTAGGCTAGATCCTGTTGATAAGGCCTTATTCAGTAATGAACTACAGACTGATGTGAAGGTTTTATGAACTCATATTCTGCTGTGAATAAATATATAATCAGCACCTCTGATTCAAATCATGAAAAAGTCATTCTGCTCTTGGCTGTGTTTGTCCAGCAGATTTTAAATTTAGTAAGTTCCCTTTGTAAACAAATTACAGACGTGTTGTTAGACCTTTCCTTATCCATTATCCAATCTTTAAGTTTTCTTTGTACAAGCTGCTTCACATCAATCATCCCTCATGGGTCATTAAGCAGGCCTTAAAAACACCAAATGTTTGTGTGAAATGTTTCATAATTCTGAGTAATTATTAACTTTGACCATGTACACAAGTGAAAACAGGAAAATCACAGAAATAACCATTTACCTGAGCTGTGAGATATGAGGCAGACACTGAAGGAAGCTCCTCACTTCACTCTCTTCATCTGGACAGCCCGTCAGCTCCACTGGAGTCTTCTCTGGACGGAGTCTCAGCACTTCCAGGAGGATGGAGGTCTTTCTCTTTGAGAGGTCAATGTACCAGACAGCAGGAGCTGACTGGAAAACTGACTGTACTGATGGAAGAACTCTCAAGCCTGTTTTAGTCTCACAGTCCTTCATGTGGGAGTACAGATCCAGAAGGAATGAACACTGATATTTTTGGTGTCATCATGAAATGATCGGCCACTGATAAGGAAATGTTTCATATGTGCACAGTGATGATAACAGCTGCAGTGTGTTCTCTCCTGTCTGCTGTTCTCTCTCTGCTGCTGCACAGAACAGACGTCCACACAACTCGACTTCTCTTTTAAACCCCTCAAAGAAACTGAAATGAAAGTTGAAAACTTTGTTAAGTCAGCATCAGAAACGAGACATGAATTACTGACAGAGTGTATCTACTCAAAGCTTACAAATAAACACAAATGAGCAGAAAACAAAACACTTTGGTAATCTACACACAAATAATGATGCAATAAAGAAGATCAAATGTAGATTTCTCTAAACTTTCACTAAATGTAATTCTTTCAAAAGTGTTGGAGGACTCAGAAAGGTCAAATACAGAGTTGTTTCTTAAACTCTGTCTAATGAGATGTTATGTTATGACATGGATTCAGCTCATAAACCAACAGAGTGACTTTAAGGAAACCTTCAACTCAAATATTCAGAAATCAATCCGTTCCAAACACTGGAATACTGGACGACAACTTTGAAACTCACTAAAGTCCAAAAAGAAAAGGTGTGTCATTGTTTTCTTTACATTTATTTATCACATCCTGATGATAATCTTTTTAATCATCAGGATTCATTTGACATCTTATAAACATATTTACTCTTTAGTCTTCTTTCTTTTAAACTATTGAGCCTTCATGTGGTACATTTATTGATTTGATTGGTTAATACAGATTGTTTTTCATGCTGTTATTGAATCATCTCGTTCACTCTTCAAAATGAATATCTTTCAAACCTCTAATTCAGCAGCTGTTTATTTACTGGTAAATAATTCATCATCAATTAGCTCCAAAGACTGAAATAGACCATCACAAGTTTGGACCTGTTTCATTCTATATTTTTAAAAACTTCAGAAAGCAGTTGTTCAGCTAAATTAGGATTTCTGGGAGTATGTTACACATTTCATCATCATGTGTTATTGGATAATTCAATCTTACAGTGAGAGGATTCAGATGGAGGAGCAAACCTTAACAGGTGTACACTGTGGTGTGAAGAGTAATTCATTTACCTGAGCTGTGAGATATGAGGCAGACACTGAAGGAAGCTCCTCACTTCACTCTCTTCATCTGGACAGCCCGTCAGCTCCACTGGAGTCTTCTCTGGACGGAGTCTCAGCACTTCCAGGAGGATGGAGGTCTTTCTCTTTGAGAGGTCAATGTACCAGACATCAGGAGCTGACTGGAAAACTGACTGTAATGATGGAAGAACTCTCAAGCCTGTTTTAGTCTCATAGTCCTTCATGTGGGAGTACAGATCCAGAAGGAAATCCGGCTCGTCAAGGTAGGAGAATGCTTCATATCTGCACACTGATGATAACAGCTGCACTGTGTTCTCTCCTGTCTGCTGTTCTCTCTCTGCTGCTGCACAGAACAGACGTCCACACAACTCGACTTCTCTTTCAAACCCCTCAGAGAAACTGAAATGAAAGTTAAAGTTGTGTTAGCAGAGCATTATTATTTAATTATAACTTTAATTTTTAAATTTTTCCAATATTTCATCTTTTTGTGTAACTTCATTGCTGGCACTTTTTCTCTGTGTCTTTGTTTTATCAGCTGTGTTTGTAAAAGTATCACAAAATAAACAACATCATGTTCATATTTTTACACCAAGTGTCATGAATGGTTGGAATGAATGGTTGGCCTTTCTGACAGCTGACCAATCAGGACGAGTAGTAACCTACGTTTTTTATCAGCCAACGTTATCGGTAGAAAGCTATCGGACCTGAACTGCCACCAGATACGTGTGCATTGCGTGTCCGCTCCGGACTTTCTGTCCTGTTTGTTCTTTTCTGTGCTAAATTGATGCGTCGTGCTCCGGCACGGTTGCGGCGTAGGCTAGATCCTGTTGATAAGGCCTTATTCAGTAATGAACTACAGACTGATGTGAAGGTTTTATGAACCTCATATTCTGCTGTGAATAAATATATAATCAGCACCTCTGATTCAAATCATGAAAAAGTCATTCTGCTCTTGGCTGTGTTTGTCCAGCAGATTTTAAATTTAGTAAGTTCCCTTTGTAAACAAATTACAGACGTGTTGTTAGACCTTTCCTTATCCATTATCCAAATCTTTAAGTTTTCTTTGTACAAGCTGCTTCACATCAATCATCCCTCATGGGTCATTAAGCAGGCCTTAAAAACACCAAATGTTTGTGTGAAATGTTTCATAATTCTGAGTAATTATTAACTTTGACCATGTACACAAGTGAAAACAGGAAAATCACAGAAATAACCATTTACCTGAGCTGTGAGATATGAGGCAGACACTGAAGGAAGCTCCTCACTTCACTCTCTTCATCTGGACAGCCGGTCAGCTCCACTGGAGTCTTCTCTGGACGGAGTCTCAGCACTTCCAGGAGGATGGAGGTCTTTCTCTTTGAGAGGTCAATGTACCAGACAGCAGCAGCTGACTGGAAAACTGACTGTACTGATGGAAGAACTCTCAAGCCTGTTTTAGTCTCATAGTCCTTCATGTGGGAGCACAGATCCAGAAGGAATGAACACTGATATTTCTTGGCGTAATTATAAATGGATCTGCCAATAATAGGAAATGTTTCATATGTGCACAGTGATGATAACAGCTGCAGTGTGTTCTCTCCTGTCTGCTGTTCTCTCTCTGCTGCTGCACAGAACAGACGTCCACACAACTCGACTCCTCTTTTAAACCAGTAAGAGAAACTGAAACGAAAGTTGAAAACTTTGTTAAGTCAGCATCAGAAACGAGACATGAATTACTGACAGAGTGTATCTACTCAAAGCTTACAAATAAACACAAATGAGCAGAAAACAAAACACTTTGGTAATCTACACACAAATAATGATGCAATAAAGAAGATCAAATGTAGATTTCTCTAAACTTTCACTAAATGTAATTCTTTCAAAAGTGTTGGAGGACTCAGAAAGGTCAAATACAGAGTTGTTTCTTAAACTCTGTCTAATGAGATGTTATGTTATGACATGGATTCAGCTCATAAACCAACAGAGTGACTTTAAGGAAACCTTCAACTCAAATATTCAGAAATCAATCCGTTCCAAACACTGGAATACTGGACGACAACTTTGAAACTCACTAAAGTCCAAAAAGAAAAGGTGTGTCATTGTTTTCTTTACATTTATTTATCACATCCTGATGATAATCTTTTTAATCATCAGGATTCATTTGACATCTTATAAACATATTTACTCTTTAGTCTTCTTTCTTTTAAACTATTGAGCCTTCATGTGGTACATTTATTGATTTGATTGGTTAATACAGATTGTTTTTCATGCTGTTATTGAATCATCTCGTTCACTCTTCAAAATGAATATCTTTCAAACCTCTAATTCAGCAGCTGTTTATTTACTGGTAAATAATTCATCATCAATTAGCTCCAAAGACTGAAATAGACCATCACAAGTTTGGACCTGTTTCATTCTATATTTTTAAAAACTTCAGAAAGCAGTTGTTCAGCTAAATTAGGATTTCTGGGAGTATGTTACACATTTCATCATCATGTGTTATTGGATAATTCAATCTTACAGTGAGAGGATTCAGATGGAGGAGCAAACCTTAACAGGTGTACACTGTGGTGTGAAGAGTAATTCATTTACCTGAGCTGTGAGATATGAGGCAGACACTGAAGGAAGCTCCTCACTTCACTCTCTTCATCTGGACAGCCCGTCAGCTCCACTGGAGTCTTCTCTGGACGGAGTCTCAGCACTTCCAGGAGGATGGAGGTCTTTCTCTTTGAGAGGTCAATGTACCAGACATCAGGAGCTGACTGGAAAACTGACTGTAATGATGGAAGAACTCTCAAGCCTGTTTTAGTCTCATAGTCCTTCATGTGGGAGTACAGATCCAGAAGGAAATCCGGCTCGTCAAGGTAGGAGAATGCTTCATATCTGCACACTGATGATAACAGCTGCACTGTGTTCTCTCCTGTCTGCTGTTCTCTCTCTGCTGCTGCACAGAACAGACGTCCACACAACTCGACTTCTCTTTTAAACCCCTCAGAGAAACTGAAATGAAAGTTAAAGTTGTGTTAGCAGAGCATTATTATTTAATTATAACTTTAATTTTTAAATTTTTCCAATATTTCATCTTTTTGTGTAACTTCATTGCTGGCACTTTTTCTCTGTGTCTTTGTTTTATCAGCTGTGTTTGTAAAAGTATCACAAAATAAACAACATCATGTTCATATTTTTACACCAAGTGTCATGAATGGTTGGAATGAATGGTTGGCCTTTCTGACAGCTGACCAATCAGGACGAGTAGTAACCTACGTTTTTTATCAGCCAACGTTATCGGTAGAAAGCTATCGGACCTGAACTGCCACCAGATACGTGTGCATTGCGTGTCCGCTCCGGACTTTCTGTCCTGTTTGTTCTTTTCTGTGCTAAATTGATGCGTCGTGCTCCGGCACGGTTGCGGCGTAGGCTAGATCCTGTTGATAAGGCCTTATTCAGTAATGAACTACAGACTGATGTGAAGGTTTTATGAACCTCATATTCTGCTGTGAATAAATATATAATCAGCACCTCTGATTCAAATCATGAAAAAGTCATTCTGCTCTTGGCTGTGTTTGTCCAGCAGATTTTAAATTTAGTAAGTTCCCTTTGTAAACAAATTACAGACGTGTTGTTAGACCTTTCCTTATCCATTATCCAAATCTTTAAGTTTTCTTTGTACAAGCTGCTTCACATCAATCATCCCTCATGGGTCATTAAGCAGGCCTTAAAAACACCAAATGTTTGTGTGAAATGTTTCATAATTCTGAGTAATTATTAACTTTGACCATGTACACAAGTGAAAACAGGAAAATCACAGAAATAACCATTTACCTGAGCTGTGAGATATGAGGCAGACACTGAAGGAAGCTCCTCACTTCACTCTCTTCATCTGGACAGCACGTCAGCTTCACTGGAGTCTTCTCTGATCTGAGTTTCAGCACTTCCAGGAGCATGGAGGTGTTGATCTCTGACAGGTCAATGTACCAGACATCAGCAGCTGACTCAAAAAGTTGACCCAGTTTTGGAATAACACTTAAACACCCTTCACTCTTGACATGTTGATACAAATCAACAAAAAAGTTATGCAAGTGTTTGTCAACAGAAAACAAAGAGACGAGCTGAGACACAACATGGTGAAAGCTCTCTTCTTTGTCAAGTGCTGCTTGCAGGCATAAATCCAGTAACAGCTTCTTTTTCCTTCTCTCTAGTGTCCCATGGCCTGGCTCCTGGTCTTCTTGTTCTGGATCTTGGTGGGCCATCCTGAAGCTTCATGATAATAAAGCGATTTATGAATGCAATGACAATGCATCGACTGTATAAGTACTTTAAGTGCTTAAGCCTTGTGTCCACCTCACGTTTTTTTGCCAGCCTCTTTTTTCAATTGTTCCCAATTTGGAGAGAGTGTTTGCAGCAGCAGGCGGACGACTGGAGAAAAACCACATCGCCCGCCTTTTTGTGCAACAGCTCCGAGCGGAAAATATTTGAACTTTCCTGGAGGCACTGTGTACCCACATCCTCCTCAGTCCGTGTCTGATCTGAGCTCTTGTCTCCTCCAGAGATCCGAGCGCACAGCAAATGTTTTTCTATCTCAAAAGACGCAAGGTGGACACAGGGGCCTTAAGGCGTCTTGAGTCTTTAAGTCGTCTGTTTTAATAATTCTAGATTTGGTTTAGCTTCTGTAAACAAATTAAATCTACAATGAAAGGATTAAAGGAAGAACAAGGTCATCATTAGGACACAGGCTCCATTTCCTCTCTACATGTTCAGTTTGTTTCTTTTATCCTGCTCTTTGTAACACAAAAAGGAGGATTTTATTTTGGTATGTTGGATAAAAAAACTAAAACAGCTACACACCTGAGTGACCTGATGTCTGACAAAACCTCCAGGAGGGACCCACACAGACTTTGGCAGGCAGTAGTTGCTCTATTGTCCCAGTGAAGGCAGACATTTATCTTCCTGAAATTATTCTGTATGACATACGCTGCTCTTTCAAACAGCTGTTTTTTACCCCGAACTGGAAGGTGTAACTGATTTCCATCAAGGTCGAGTAACCTGAGGTCAATCAACTTTTCTTCACTTAGAAGAACAATTTCCCACAGCTGTTTGGGCAGAGGGTCACACCTGTCAAATAAAGAATAATCAGATATCATTTCCACATTATAAAGGAGAAGAGAAGAAAACACTGTTTTTCATTCCTACATACATTTCTACTCGATACAGTCTATTATTAAATCTGCTATATAAGACATGTTGTAAACTGAGCAGCATTTTGACATGTTTAACACATACCACTGGACATTGAAAAGGCATCCATACAGACAGCTCATTCCTTGTGCTGATACAGAAACATCTTCAAGGTTCAGCTGTATTTTCCTCTCCTTTGACTGAGAGACCACATAGGCCACAGCACAGCAAAGATAGGAATCAAGACTCTCACTGCTGAGATCAAGTTGGTACTCCAGTGTTTCCAGAAAGCTGGTGCATGTGTCAGGACACTGCGTCTCAAACAAGCATTGGCATAAGAACAGTATGCCCACATCAAGCCCAGTGTCCTCAGTATGAGCCTCTTCCTCCATACACTGACCAGATAAAAATGTGCTTATCATTTCCTTAAAGAACCAGTTAGATGTCTTTTTTAACTCCTGAGCTGGAATCAGATGCTCCATCAAACTTGGGCTCTTCTTAGTCAACAATCTACACATGAAAGGGATCATATGTTTCATGTGCTTCCTCTCCTCCGTGAGGCATTGCTGAAAAACCTCCTTAATCTTATCTGAATTCTTCAAGAGCCACATTGCTGCAAAGAACTCCTGCATTGTGTAATGGAGAAAAGCGTATGTTGTTGTTGTCTCAGTGGGAGCCACTTTGATAACAAGTGGTTTCAGGAAGGAAAGGACACAGCTGTCTTCACAGTGCAGGTCGGTCAAGCTCACAGTTTTTTCTTCAGTTGCATGAAAAGCAGCCTCCGCCAACGTCAGTAGATCTGCACTCTTCTGCTTGATTAAGGTATTGAGATTTTTATCTTTGTTGTTGCTGCTTGTTTGAAGACAAAAACGAACAATGTTGATGTATATTTCAGTCATACTGCATGGCTGTGGTGAGTCTTCTGGTGTCTCATATAAAAAACAGACCGCCACCATCAGTGCATACATCGGGACATGGCAAAGAGTTAACAACTCCAGGTTGCTGAGAACCTTCTTCTGTTCCATGCCAAGCATCGCAGAGAAGTATTTTTCAATGGTCTGCTCACTGAAGCCTTTCACTTCCACTCTGTCAAAGTCTCCAGAAAATAAGTCTTCGTCATCTGGTCTGCAGGTTATGATGACCTTGGCATTAGGAAGGAGGTCCTTCTCTACAATTCTACGCACCACTGAAGAAGAGAGATCTGTGATTCCATCAAAAACAACTGTAACGTTGTCAGAATACTTCTTTATGTCCTGAAAGACTTCTTCTTTGTCTTCATCTGGTTCACTGTATGCACTGAAAAGAAGTTCCTCCAAGCTCATCCCATCTCTGACGAGAGATCTTTCCCTCATGTCAAAGTAAAACATGTATTCAAGCTCCCTGCTGTCTCTTTCTGCCCAGAGTTTTAAAATTTCATGACTCAGTGCTGTCTTTCCAATTCCAGGCTTCCCAACGAGGAGGATGTTTTTATTTGTTTTCAGCAGGTCACTGGGAGAGATTTCTTGTCTGTCCTCTGGAATGTATGTCTTGAGCTTTTTGGGGCGACTCATTTTGCCCTTTTTCCTCTTACCTTTCTTTATTTTGGATGAAGAAACTCTTCCTTGTGTGTCTAATACAAGTGAACTGTATGACAGATCAGGCCTGCAGACTTCTTCAAACAGATTTTTGTTTCTCATCCAAAATTCCTTTGATCTGTCTTGTGCTTTTGACTTTAACTTTGCTTTATATCTGTGGCATGATCTCGGGCCTGAAAAAGAAGAAACACAGGGAGTGAATAAATAAATCATGCCCCAGAAGTCACATATTCGAACAGAGACAAATTCAAGTTCTTTACAGGAAGTAAATGTAAATACATCATTTACTATCGATCACAATTCTGCCTCAAAATACCTTGTGAGTAGTTTATCTCCATTTCTGTGTCTTCCCTGAAAGGAAAGCTGTTGATCCAGGAGAGCAGGTCAAACTCTTTAGTCCCAGCTTCAGTCATTTCCTCAGAGAGAGAAGATATCCTTCCAGAGGTCCTCCTACAAATCATGTCAATAACCTGAAGGAGCTTGTAGCAGGCTGCTTCCCCCTTCTTATAGACTTTGTCCAGTATTGTTCTTGATTTGTCATAGTCAGTCCTTTCTGCCTTTATGTTACTGACCTCTTCATCATGGAAAACTCCATGCTCATTTAAGTTCTCCACAATAACAGAGACCCCGAGATTCTTTAATTCTCTCACAAGGCGGTGTCTGACAAGCCTGACGTAATCTCGGGCAGACTCTGTTGAACAAGCCATTTGTCCTCACTTCTGCACACAAAGCCTCCTTCAATGATCTGTAGAACAAAGGACTGGGTAAATTAAAATATAAAAATACAAATTTCACTTTTCCTCATGCATATTTATCTCTTATGACAATGTTTGTAGAATGGTTTCTCAATCAGTGGTTGTTGCAGGCTTTTATTAATCTGTCCAATCATTATTCAGATCTAATGACCATAAGAAAGGACCCCTGCCTATCTCCAAGTATTCTACCTCTCTCTCACCAAAGTGTCCTATCCAGGCTTTGACAAAGAAGACATTAAATGCACAGTAAGTTAAAATGATTTTCCTGGACCACATCACACACAGACTGTTTATCAGAGACAGAGACACTTACACAGAGGCCTCAAAATGTCCACTGAAGAAAAACTCCATCTGCTGTTTGGTGCCAGTGGAGGGTGATTGTCCTGAGCACAAGAGAAACAAAAAAAGAACAAGCTAAAAGTGGTAGAAAGCTCTCATAAACGCAGGCTTATTATCTGCACTGATAGTTAATGGTACTTATATAACAACGTAGGTGTTTATTATTTATCTTAATTATTCATTTAAAATATATTAAACATAAAAATCTGTCTTTTTATTCTGAATACTAAGTGTTGTATCAGTAAAACATTGTTTACCAATAATTAAAAAGATTACAGGTTAGACTCTCACTGGACTTGTCATTAGTTTTCCAGAGAGCAAAAAACATGAATTACACTTGGCCCCTTGAAGCTAGGCTATACGGCTGATCAATAACCAGTGCACTACAGGTGGAGGAACATTCATGTACGTATGGATTTGATGGGGGATGGACCTCTGGTCTTGATAAACATATTAGGGAGCTAGCCAGAGCCAGTATGGTGGCGGCAGAGCTAATGTTAACTCTGTCAAGCCGTTACACAACCATTAACGTTACATGCTTTAAAGGTGCACTATGTACAGTGTTTACCACATCATTTAATGAGACTATGGTGGGGGGACACCGAACCCTATAGGGGGGAGAAAAATGTATACATTTTAAAGTATGATGCATCAATTTTGTGCAAATGTATGAAGGTTAAATGTATGAAAAACTTTGTCATCTTCTAACAATTTTGTGCTCTTGTAGTGCACAAATTGTCAAAACATAAAATCCAATGCCCATGGAAGTTAAATGGCTTTAGGCTTGGCCCATAGAGACCCTCAAGCAGGCATACTGTTCCTACTCCTCTTTCAGTTATGATTATCACTCCTCTCCAGCCTCTTGTCCACATTTGGATCATTCCTCCACAACATGCTTCTATTTGATGACATCATACTATTTGCTGCGCAAAAGCATATTTTATCAATTGATTGTAATGTTCAGTATTATAAATATTTAGAGTATTAACAGCAGCTCAGACGGTTTAAGAACATTTCAAAATAAAACGTTCAGACGTGGTTTATGACCAGTTTATATTTTTAATAAGCAGGGAGGGTGACGTGGAGATGCAGACAGAGGAGCACTCAGAGCACATTGAGCAGTTTAGACGACCTCTGTCTGTTAACAGCAGAGACTGCAGTCTGCCGTTCACAGGTTGACATGTAAACTGTAGAGTAATGATCAATTTAACTTTTTGTTTCTTGTCCATCCACTTACATGCGCAATGGCACATTCCCGGACTCTCGCTCGCCCGTATAGCTCTCTCTCTCTCTCTCTCTCTCTCCCTCTCAAGTGTGGTCCGCGGACCCACCTTTATCTGAAAATGCACGTTTTGACATAATGAGGAAGATACACTCTTGAAAAAAGGTCTGAGCTAATGTTTAGACTTATAAGTAAACTTTAAGTGCAGTTTTTCAAGACAACAGGTGAGCAGCAGTGGAGCTGCGCAGAGTCTTTAGGCGAAATGGATTTGTTCCGCTCTTTCAGAAGTTGTTTTGTTGGTCCTAAAAGGATATTCAGCTAGAATATCCATATCTACGTTTACAACTAGTTATGCTGCTTTTTCTGATAGGGTGATCAGATGTCTTTGATTGTGTTTAAAACCTTTGAACCTTTTCACTGTCAGTAAAAACACCTGGAACGTCCGGGGCATTGAGCTGTCACTCAAAAACTCATTAGCCAATGGGGACGCATTCCTCATAAAGCCCACCCACTCCAGAGGTTTGTGCCAGAATCTCAAGCAAAAAGTCAGGCAGCGCAAAGGAGAAAGCTGACATAGAGAGCAAAAGTGTGATCAGTGAGAAAGAAAACCAGTGAACTGTAAACAAAAGGACTGATGATAAGAAAAGTACAAGACCAATTATTTACATGATTACACAAATATTTTAATTGCAAGTCATTTTCAGAAAGATTCGTCCGCATCACTGCCGCCACTCAAAGTTGTCAGACAGATACAATTGTGCTTTCTAATGTAGGCTATATAAGTAACACAGAAAACTTGCCATAGAAGTTATACGAGCAGCGTATGTCTGTGTGTGTGTGTGTGTGTGTGTGTGTGTGTGTGTGTGTGTGTGTGTGTGTGTGTGTGTGTGTGTATGTGTGTGTGTCGGGGACCGGAGCAGAATAAGCAGAAGAAATCAGAGTCATGATGTTAAGTGTAAAGTTCAAGCTCTGCGAGCGTAATAAACGGCCCGGTACC